AACTAATTGTTTTATATATACAAATAAAACTTTAACTTATCAAGATTTCACTTGACTTTTGTAATATTTCCTTATTAAGAATTGTTTTATTGAATTTGGGTAATTTTTGAGAATTGGGGCAATTTAACACCATTGCTCATTCATAAAGTACATAACTTAACAACACCCAATACTGAAATTTACAGATTTACACAAATCAAATCACACTACTACACTTAATTTATTTGCATTAATATCTAGAATGCCATTTATATAACCAGAAGTTCTATTTAAGCTGTAATTAACACTCTTATTTTTGCTAAACTAAATGTTAAATTTTAGAAAATGCTACAATTTTAAATAAACTATTTCTTTTAAAAGAAGTTGTTTTATTTCTCTTAGTATATGGTTTAATCTGTATTAAGACATATGGTTTAATCTGTATTAAGACATATGATAAGTAAACAAACATTAAAATTCTAGTTAACAAACTAGAATTTTAATGTTTGTTTACTTATTTTTTCATTAAAAATAGCTGTTTTTTCAACTATTCTATGTAACTCTTGAATATATTGATGATTCTGAGATTTTATTTTTTACATGTTTAATAGATTTAACTGATTGTGAGCACTTAAAGCCAGGAGTTGTGTGACATCATTTAGGCTTCTGACATATCAATAGAGCAGCTATGTGACATGTATGTATGAAAATTACTTTGTGGATAATCAACTCAATGGTAAGTATCTGGAAGTGATTACATTTATTTGAAATCATTACTATATTTATTCATATTTCAGAATCAATTTTAAATAATGTTCTTTTTTAATTGTTCAGGTTATCTGCTCCACACACCTTCCTTTAGAAAATGTTGATATTGAACTTTGTCACTGCAATCTTTTAACAAACATTTCCATTATGACAAAGAGCATGCAACATTTTCTTCTATAAATGGTCAGTGAACTACTTTACTTTACTTTTATATTCCCGGGACCATTTTAATTTTAAATTTTGTAAAAATTGGCATTCAGAGTTTGATTTGTCTTGATGTTCATTTTGGATTAATTAGCCCTATGTTAATTAAGCACAATAAAATTAGGTTCAAATTTTCTTTATCATATATAATGTAATAGAGATAGCTGTAAAAGCAGATTATAAATTATGAATTATTGTAAAATTTATATTTTAAATAAATAAAGATTCATTCTGTTTAAATTTTCATTCTATATTTTACTATATATGTAAAGAATTAATACTTGTAATTAATAATATTTGTAATTTAATATGTTTGTGATTGCTATGACAACAAAGTATTTAAATTTATTTTTTGAATTTGTTGTACTTCTTTTAAAATCAAACAATATAGTTTTAAAGAACATTAAAAAGTGTATTTGAGAGAGAGTGCTTATTTTTTACTGTTAAACATACAGATAACACCTCATTATAGCAAACAATTTGAAGTCCAATTTGGCCACCTGTAAGACTTAGCTTAAGAACTGTCAATATAAATTTCAGAATATCAAAGGTTTTTTCACTATGCCAAGCATTTCCAATATATCAAAATACTGGGATAGATTAGATGAAAATGGTTATGAAGTTCCACAGATGACTGGAGAAAAGGGGCATGTCTAGAAGATGCCTTAGATTAAGGCTGGTGTGGTGGGTGGACTGGATTATTTGTTACCCATGTTAGAATATTCTGGAAGTACCCAGTGAAAATCCATAAATGAGTGGATGATACCAGTGACAGGATCTTTCAGACCATAGGCCAGGAATGCCACCACCAAATAAGATGTGTACGGAGATGATACTAGGAAGTTACAAGAAGGAGAATGTAAATATGAGTTTTACATTCAACGAATCCTTACACGATTTTAGTATCAAATGGGTAATATACTATACTATGCTGTTGTTATGATCCATCATTGTTCAAAAAGCTTCTTTCTACAAGAAGTTGATTCTGAGTAAAAATTAGATGTTGCAAGGGAGTTTGGCATCACCCTTTCCATTCTGTCAATGATTTTAAAAGATCATCCAACATTGCAAAAAGTTAAGAAGATCCAATGTTGAGTCCAGCGGGAATAAAACATAGCACACAATTTGAGGATGTTATTTGAGGATTGAAAGTTATTTTCATCTGGTATCAAGATGTTCAAGCGTGCCACTGTCCCATAGAAGTTCCTTGTTATTACAGGGAATTTTTGAAAAGTATGGAATTATCTCAAAATCTTTTACAGATACAGATGGCATTTTCAATCCTGATGAAACAGGTAGTTTATTTCAACTGCTGCAAAGGAAGCAAAAATGCTAAATATCAATTAACAGCCATGTTTTATTGCAGTACCTCAGGTAAGAAATTATTTTGTATTACACTACACTGCATTCTTTCATCCCTTTTATCCTAAGAAGGATCAAGTTCTGATATCCACTGTACATGACATAGATATGGAGAATATCAGACCCTTAATCATTGCAAAAACATCAAGAACATGTTGTATTATGTGAACAATGTGTGCTCTACACACTGCAAACTGCCAAGATTGGATGATGCAGAGCATTTTTAATAAATAGTTGAACTGGAAACTATATTAAAAGATGAAATAAAAGTAAAGAGTCAGCTGTCAGGTGACAACTGCTTGGTTTGAGTCCTATCTGGAAAATGTGCAAGTTGAGTGCTTTCTACACTGCTGTTCTATAGCTGATCTTGGAATAATCCATACTGTACAGGCTGAATATTGATTATTTTTTTTCAACATCGGTAACTGTGTCTAAAGAAAGATAAACAAGCTACTGACAAGACTGCTGCAGCATGTGCACATGTCATGAATTTTATCACACTATATTTTGTCTGGTAGCATTAGAAACTACAAAATGTCACAGGTTCTCTAACAATGGTGTAGGAAAACAAAGTTAATGACTACTATTAACCTTTTTCTAGTTCAAAGTATATAGATTATACTAAATAATAATAGTTAATGGTGATCTCCCTACCATTAACTGTCAGAATTATTATTACTGTTTGAACAAAATATAATTTTTAATACTCTACCAGCAAAAGTATTTATTAACATAACATTATTTCCAGGATTATGATGGATAAAATTCATGAAAATTATTAAAAAAGAAAGAAACTGCAATTTTAAAATGAAGTATATAGTGAAATTTAACAATTGATGACTTTCTCTGAAGACAAAATTGACAATTGGTTAACCTCGATACTTAAAGACGATTTCACAGATAGCGATGCTAATGTGAGTTTATCATAATATATTATTTACCAAATGGTTTTCTTTAAAAACAAGAAATTATTTATTGTGACATTGTCATAATGTTGGACTGCAATTTCTAATCATATTATTAATTTAAAATATATCCTTTCCACCTGAAATTAGTAATGACTTGCCCCTGGTACATCGTACTTTTCCTTTAACAATACAGTTGTGCCAGTCATATCTCTAACACCTTCCAGGGGAAGATTTTAATTGAAATAACGCAACGTCCGGTTTGCATCGCAAGTTCTTATGTAGTTAATTGGGGCTTTCTCCCACTAAGGTTTCCATATGGGATTCCATTTCCAAAATTAAGGAAAGACAGATCAAATTTATAGGTCTCCAAATTGCAGTCCAAAAATCTTAATATGTAAATCTTATTACTTTTCATAACTTGAATCATAAAACAAAGTAAAACAATTGAAATAAGTTAATGACACTGGCATGTTATAGCTTCACAAATCCCATCTGAATTTGAATTAGGGATGCCCCACCCAGGCAATTGCATTTTTTACTCATAGGATAACACGCTACTGGTTAACAAAATTATTTTTTGTATATTTTTATTGTTCGATATACTGTTTTGTGTATAACGTTACTATTGCAAATTTAAATTTTGTTTATTAATAATTTTATACAATGTTATACAATACATAAGACTTCTATTCGTAAGAACTTTAATGATACATTAATACAAAATAACACAACTTTTATATTCAAAATTAATTTAATTATAATGAAAATTTTAATTGCAAACTTACTTTAATGCTATTTTAAATACGCATTCAACAATTTGTTTTTATTACAACTGCCACATAAACACATACGGCACACTAAATATAGCATAATGGCACCCGTATTCGAATGTTTACAGCTGTTATAAAATTTGATATTTTTATTACAACCTGTAGAAGCACAAATAGAAAAATTCATATATGAAAATAAAGATTGTTCTACACTTTCCATCAAAACAAAACACAGTTAAATACAACAGCAGTCGGCAATAAGCGGAAAAATAGCTTCATATAATTCTTCATAAGTATTTTTTGCATATTGTAAAAAATATATAAATTTCATATACGATTTTAAAATATTACTCCTAATTTTTCCAATTATTAAGCATCTCGAGAAGCAAGTTTTAAAGGGTCTAAATCAATATGTTTACAAACAATTCCTTGTAAAATTGTTAAGACCATTCAGTAGAAAATTATCACCATATACTTATTAATAGTTATCTTTTCGGGTGCTGTTAGGGTTTTCTGCATATTATGCCAGTTAATCGACTAATTAATCAGGTGGCAATTTTACAAAATAATTGAGCATCAATTCATCAATTACGTGCGTATTAAATATAGAACAGCATATTAAATATTAAAAAATTTTAATTAACATTATAAACATGATCTCAGGTAAGTTATAATTCAATTTTTAATTTTACATTTTAAAATAAAACAATAATAGATAATTATGTACGATATTTAAATATCTTACTTTTAGAATTCTAATATTAAAATTTGATAATATGATTTTCATTGCATTAATTATAATAAATTATATAATTATATTTTGATATTTTATCACGGACAGATTACACATTTTTGGTATGCAGCGAAGTTGCTGCATATCAAAAATACCATTTTGGCATAAGGGCCACAAATAAAAGAAAAATTCAACAATAAAAAACAATTACATATAAAGTATACTTAAAATAAACTAACAAGTCGAAATAATATACAAATACAAATTGATCAAAATAGATAACGATAAACGACGGGTAAAAGGCTGGTTTCCTTCCGACGACACATTTTCCTTACAACACCGAGCACTAGACAATTCTAATTTTAAAAAGTATTCACCGGACATTGAATATCAGAGTGTGGCGGTCTGACGGGTCAGAAAAGGGTCCAGATAGCGACAAAAATATACATACACCGATTGCGACAACGATTGCACGTGGATTGAACGAAAGCAATGTGGAGAGGAGCGTGATAAGAGGAGGCGTGGAGCTATGGCAAATCGTCGTTTGAGCGCTTGTTCTTTTTGCAAACACAAAGTTTCGGAAAGTGAATTATAAACTTGTTCAAATTGCTCTAAATTTGCTCACTTCTATTGTTTTGGGATCCAGGCAGCAAACTTTCATAAATTCAGCAAGTCTTACAAAAAAAACTTGGAAATGTGAAGATTGCAAATTAGTGAAAACCGTTAAGAACAACGCAAATTGGACACAGGATCTGGAAGACGACAGAGAACTGGGTGAGTGTGAACAGATTATTATGACTTTACATAATTATAGTAAAAACGTGAATAGAACACCAGATAATCTAACTTTCACTCCAAAGTCACCCTTAAGTATAAGTACAAAAAATTCTGAAGTAATTTTACAAGAAGTGAAACTTATATACTTAAAGTTGAGTAACATAAAAGAAACAAACAAAAAAATCCAGAAATCGATAGATATCTTAGCAAATAAGTTTGACAAAATGGAAGAGAGAATTAATATTTTAGAGAGAAACTATGTAACTGTTATAGAAACAATGACAGAACTAAAAAAAGAGAATAAAAGTACTAAAACAGAATTAAATTCTTTACAAGAAAAATTCTGCATGTTGGAGCAGGATCTAAACAACTCTAGTTTGAAGATTATTGGCGTGCCGACACTTCAGAATGAGAATTTAACAGAAATAGCATATAAAATTTTTTCGTTTGTTGACGATAATTTTAATTAATTATACCTTTTGAATGCCTATAGAATTAAATTCATTAATAACGTAAGAAAAGAATTCAAAACTAGATCGCAACCTATTATAGTGAAATCTGCTAATTCAGTTGTCAAACAGAAAATTATCGATTACGGTTACTTTCCATTCGTCGTTGCTATATTTCGTATAAACATTCCTGTGCCAGGGA